CGAGGCAAGTCTTGGTTTGTAAAGGACAAAGTCTAAGGGGACACACTACTTTGGAATGCTACATTCTGTGTTTGGCAGTTTTAAGGTCACATAGATTGAACAGTATTGCAAGATGCATTTGCAGTGATGACCAGGATTCAACATTAAATATGGGGGGGGAGGGACGAATTGGCAGGAAATGAAGGGGTTAAAGTACCAGTGGTCATAATAAGATGTCAAAAGACATCTACCACCAAAGAGTCCATTAATGTTGATTCTATTGAAGAATACATATTTCGTTTCAAGCTCAGTGCTCAATCTACTATAAACGCAATTTCTTTTCCAGTTTTACATGAACTATCTCAATGAATAAAATATCATATACTTAAGATTATTCTAATTTAAGTTGCTAGGAGAATGACTACATCCATATAATTATTTTTCTGCAGTTATGAGAATAGTTTCAGTTAAAATGAGGATCATAATAAATGCAGGAAGATGTTAGAAATTCCAGCTAATTATCCTTCAGGGACAATGTTACATATGTTTGTTGCTCTTCTTGGCCTTGAGATACCTCTAGAATACAGAAATCAAATATAATTATTAAGAGTAATAGTTTGAAATATTTGAAAGAAAAAAGGAAAATGTTCCTTGTCTGAATATTTATTTAAAGGTTATGTTGTCAAGGGCATGTGAAAGTTTACGATTTCTCATTTGGGTTTGCAACAGCCTGAAATAGGGTCCTCTTGCCTCTAGTTTTCCCTTCCTACCTTCTGAATCCTCGTGTTGTAACCAGAATCAGGAAATAGCAAAACAGCTCAGCCTACACTTTTTTGTTGTTGTTTTTTGCTAAAGAATTTAGATAAAAATGTCTTACTGCAGCTCAAAACCTAGCCACTCTTTGTCCTTAGCCTCATACCATAACCATCCCCTTTCGCCTACTCATGAGACGAAAACTACATACTTAAACACACTGCACAAATGTCTCCAAAGTGACAAGTTTCTAAGTTTAGTCTGAATAATTTCCTCCATCTACTACTGTCTAATTATTATTATGCTCATTATTCTACTCATCCTTTAAGATCCTACATAAACTTCACTTCCTCTAACTCCTTCCAGGAGGCACCTGTGCAATTTTTGAGTTCATCCTTGTTTTTCCTCTAGCACTCCACTAAGTCAATCCCTGCTCACTGCTATCCCTATTGTGATTCCTCAGATTGCAAGTCTGCCTCCCAGATGAGAGAATGTGTTCTCTACAGAGGCATGTCTTCTTCTTATCCCCAGGGTGCTGGACGAGTTTAGTGCCCAACAGCTACTCAATATATTTCTGTTGAATTAGCTCCAGATGCAGCCATTTTTTTTAAACAACATCTAGTAGAATTAGAAGCTTTTTATAAGAAATACACTTTTAAAATGAAAATTGAAAGTTCTTAAGGAGTGCAGGTGTCTTGGGAAACTTTAAATTATGGGACATGTGTTCAAAGATTATGTTTATATCAACAGTACTTACTATTGAAACTATGTAGTTTAATTAAGATCCTTTGTGAATCAATAAAATGTGAAAAAAAAGACTAGAACAAAAGAAATGAGAAAAGGGTATAAGAGTGTGTAATGCAATTGTGATATGAGAAATGTTATGAATACATTAAGTTATAAAAATACAAATATAAAAAGCATA